AAATATATTAAGAAAAAAGAACCCTCTATCCTTTTCTGATATAACGTGTGTTTAAATTTTCAATCTAGATCTTAATAGTGTTTGGATATTCGTCGAAAAGTAGACATATCAATTCCAAACTCGAATAGAAAGAGGTGGGCATTTATTTATTTTCTACCGATTAATATTTTATCACGTCGATTTAAGCCAGATTTATAGATTTTTCTTTCAGATGACAGAATTAATGTGCCACCACCTCTCAAAATGAGACCTCTAAATTCTATCATTTAAAAAGACAATGAAATTAGTGTGTTTCTATCTCTAGTATCGTTTTGGGCTACGGTGGGGATGGCCCTTCTTGGAATAGTATATTATGCAATTTGGGGGGGTTGTAGCCGCCTACTAAGGTACAGAAACTATTTGTCTCTTCCAAATTCTGTGGGAGGGATTAATTGTTTAATTCATTTTTTAAGGTGAGCGGCCCACGTGGGATTCTTTCAATACTATCTGGTTTGATTTCTTTCCTATTCCTGAAATGATCAGATTTCTGTTGCTTCTATTTCATTTTCTCAGTCTTTGGTAATTATTGTCCAGCACCCACCGCCATAAGGGTTGACTTCGTATGGCCTTTTAGCTCTCTGATTTTGGTAGTCATTGGGATGTTTATATTTTTCAGGATGGGGCCCATTTTTATTGAAACTATCTTTAGCTGTAGCACATTAGAAGGAATGTGGAATTGCTCTTTGTTGCACACCATATGTGTTATCAACTATAGGAATGAAAGTGTAAAGCTAAACAAAAATGTCTACAAATGTAGCAATGTCTTTTTGAGTCTTTATGCAATAAGATTTATGCCGGAACCAACTTGCTTTTTGAGGTCAGTATAATGTAGAATATTGTAGACCATAAAGTATCCCAATCAATAACCTCATTGTGCCTCTCAATAGAATCACGCAGTTTTAAGTATCCAGAGTGCATAAAAAATCAATTACTTGGCAGGCTTCCTTATTTTGCAGTGCTCTCTTTTCAAGATCGTTCCTTTTTACGCTCGAAGATAGTTTGTGGGTCTCAAAAAGACAATTAATCAACCACCTCTGGCACAAAACTCTCATCTCGCACGTCAACGCGCCATAAATTATACCCACGACGTGTCCGGCGCTGCAGCCTGCCGCATCCTGCCACCCCCTGCGCGGGCGGAGTGAGCCCGTCCCGGCGTCACATGGTTACCAGCCTGGTGACCGCCGAGGAGCCACGGAGCACCGGGATGTCTCTCTCGAGTGCGCACCGGAGCGCGCAGCACGCACGCAGCCGCGTCAATCAACGCCAAGTGTTTGGTCATGAAACTAATCCGTGTTATTGAGATAGTATAGGCCTATAATATATATGTGTATACGTATTATGTATTATAATGTGTGACTTTGACCACCTGGCTCAAAGATCTTTGACGGGTGGTCGGAGGGCGCCACCGGCAGGTTCTACTTCTTTTTTACTTTCCATCTGTCTGTTGTTTCTGCCTGTCTGTCTTGCTTTTCCCCCGGCACTAGTCAATGACCATGATTGTGTCTATGTGCCTCTCTTTACTCAAACAAAACAAACAAGCAAAAGATCTTTCTTTCTTTCCTTCATTTTTTTTCTTTCATTGAAAACCCGGGGTTCATGACGTCATGTGGTCAGTGGTTCCATTCCATAAACATGTCACTTTTTCTTTTCTTTCTTTCTGTCTTTAAAATTGAATTATAAGTGGACAGCGGGTTGACGGAGGCGAAAGTAATTTTGTTTTGTTGCAGAGGCAGTATTTTAGAGAGAGAGAGAGAGAGAGAGAGACAGAGAGAGAGAGAGAGAGAGACAGACAGACAGACAGACACACAGGCAGACAGACAGACAGACCAGTCAGACAGACACGTAGACAGACAGACACGTAGACAGACAGATAC